CAGGGGCGTAGCCAGGATTTTTCAAAGGGGGGGTCACAGAGGCTACTCACCATTTACACCGCTGCTCTCCCGCGTGTATCAGCGGGCTCAGTCGTATTATCGCGGCATGAAGGCCCATATTAACTAAATACAAGAGCCGTTGTCGAAAATACTTAAAAAAAAAACAACAATTTTTAAAAAAGTGGGCTTTTCAACAATGGCTTTTACGGCCAAGATATTGTCATGGCGTTTTCGCCATGTTTTGTAGGTTGTTTGCTCGAAAGAAGGCCTACCAAGGGGGTGGTCACGGGTACCCCAGGACCCCCCTGCCTACGCCTTTGTTTAATGATTGTAAAAATCATGTATGGTGTATCATGTATAGTCATCAGAAACTGCCAAAGATAAAGCTAAATTTTCAAATGGAGTAGAAGGAAGAGGAAAATTACCATTCAGTGTTTCAAGGGACCTGTCTTTGTTCATCAACTGAGTTGAAATTGTAAGTTGGCCACCGTAACGAATAAAAAAGCTGACGTTTCGATTGTCGAAGGGCTAACGCTCGAAACGTCAGCTTTTTTATTTGTTACGGTGGCCAATTTACAATTTCAACTTAGCTGATATAACCAAATTACCTTGTTACCCCCACCGACGCAGGACCACAGTTTCTTTAGAAACTTTCAGCCTTTATTCATTTGTCTTTGTTCATCGCCCGGGAGGGGAGGATATTGGTGGTGTCCCCCTCGGGCTCTGTAGGATTCTAATGATCCTTCCTCATTGGTAGTCAATTTTCTATAGTTCCTCCTTTAAACTCAGTTAGAGACGACTGATCCTCACTCGGTCCCCTGAAAGCTAGGTGATCCCCAAAATCCTTCACCCCCCACCACACGCACGCACGCACGCACGCACGCACACACACACACACACACACACACACACGACGACGATTAATGTAGGATAGTTTCTCAAATCAAGCTTCACGCAAGTGTGGTGGTTGTTAGCGCAGTTTGTTTCGCACCACGCGTGAAAGCTGGTTCACAAATACCAGCTCAGTGTTAAATAATATCGACTGCAATATCTCAACACATCCCAAGGGTCCACTGAAAGACGTCTTTTATTAATTTTGTCATAGCCTCCTCACCAGAGTTGACTTATTTACGTACTACCTAGTCTTAACTTATTTCAAATATGCTGAACGAAGAAAAGCATGGTTCCTTTACGTAAACTTGCTAAAGGTCTTTTCCAAATTATCATTCGCCATTGAGAAATTTCGCCGTTTAGGTAAACTGTTCACGAGTTCACCGCTTCCCAGTTGTCTTCACGTTATTTTAGCGACTTTGTCGCTGGTTCAATTTGACACCAGTCTACCAGTCGCGATTTCTTTACTTTTAAATTGTCGACAGCCTTACTCAGTATTTACACATTCAAATATTGTATACATTTTCGCAAACGAAGTAGAACTATGTACAGTTAAAACTGGAGTAGAGTGAATTAAAAACTATCTCCCGTAGAAATTCTTTAGAATATAAGGAAACAGAAGCTTATGCACTCGTTAAAGAAGTACGTACAGCTACTTAAAATCGAAAGACTATACACGAAAATTGAAGAGAAGAATGAACGAATAATATCCTGGAAAATCTTTTAAAATTAAAAACGCTGAGGTAAAATGGCAGCTTTGATTCTCGTATACACTAAAACAAGATTTTCTTGATTAAAAATGAAACTTCGTTCATAAAGGAAAAACGACTGCAGTTAAATAAGTTATGTAAGATTAATCAGTGCGTTCTCCTTCCTTTATACCAGTTTGGGGACCAGTCTTACGTATCGCCTGGACGGGGAGAGGGGGTGATCGGAAGATTTTGGGGGAGTCACAGGTTTTCAAGAGGAATAGAGGGGGGATCACTCGCCTTCAACAGATTTTAAACAGGGGACTGCCGATGAGGAGGGGGTATTATAATAATACTACAGAGCCTTATGGGGGAGATCAGGTAAATTTTTTGTGACCCTACCTCCACCACACCCCCTCTCCCCCTCCGCCGAAGCCCAGGCGATAAATAATGACCGGCCACTGGCCACTTTGGTTCAGATGCGAGTATGAATTACATGTGCGTAAAAATCTTCTTAAAAAGTATCTACCGGCATGTTAACCTTTTCTTCCTTCGGAAGCATCAAATGTGGGACAGTAACAGCAGTACTTCTTGGCCAAATCACTGCGGCCAATTTTAGTCAGGGCGTCGAACAGTAATTGGTACCTTGAAATTGCACCATCGCTTGCATTTTCTTTCCAGCAAGATAGCACTTGGAAAGCCCTTTCGTAAGCATCATCCCTATAATTGATACCAAGTTCGTCTAAATTCTCTCGTGGAACTCTTAAAACACGTCCTAGTTTTTTCCACAGCTGAGGAATTTTTTCTGCTATGTCGGATAATTCAACATCATCAGGTTCACCATCTTTAACTGTTGAAAAAAATAATAAAACAGTAACAGTTCACTCAAACATAGTTTTAAGGTAATTGATGAGGGGGAAGGGATGCTCCTCTAGTCAACAACAGTGTGGATTCTATCGACCCTTATCTCCTTTGGGTCTTGGTAATCAAAACTACTCTTTGTCACCTGGTTTAGTTACCTTACTAATTGCGAATAGTGAAATTTTCAATCTAGTGTCGAAAGTAATCCGGGCTTGCATCGGTTTTGCTTTACTTTACCTCAGTGATTGGTCAAGAAAACTCGCGCCACTCTCTCAGCCAATCAGATGCAAAAATTAAAACCAATCACTCCTTGGTCACCCGCGCTTTCCCGCATTTTCCCGCGCTTTAGCAGTTTGATTGTTTTCAATTTTGAGTTCTCATCGGCTCTTAAAGGTTTTTTTACTTTCTTCTGATTGGCCGTTATCATTATTTCGGTTTTAGTTTTACGACAATCAATCGAGAAGCGCTTGAACAAAGAACACAATGAGTGGTTTTAGGACCACTCCCTACTTCTGATCGAATAATTGTTACGGCCCACTCACTGAGTGAAGGTCTCTCCTCTGGTAAAACTCTCGGATCCACAGTCACTGTGGGAGGAACCTGCGAAATAACAACACAGAGTCATGATAAAAAATGCTTCTTGTAACTATACATCAATTTTAAATCATTTGTTTGATGCCGAGTGGCAATTAAGGCCTAAAGACCGTAAAAAAAGATAAATAAAAGAATCAGCGTTTTGACAGAAATCCTTCATTCTCGAGATAAACAATCCAGCATCTATGCTATCCATAAATAATTTGATATGATTTAACATGCAATGTAAGCTAGTGCACTAATATAAGTGGAAAACAAACGAGGCCACGATGCTCAGTTAAAACGTTTTTCGATTAAGTGTCGTAAAACCAAAACCAAAGAAATCTCAACAGCTATGAGAAATCAAAGTAAAAACAACCAAATTGCGCAAAGCGCGGAAAAACGCGGGCGACCGAGTAATGATTTTTTCCATTTTTGCATCTGATTGGTTGAGAGAGTGGCACAAGTTTCCCAGATCAATCACAGAGCGAGGTTAAGTAAAAATTAATGCAGTCTCGGATTACTTTCGACACTCATTGAATAGTGCTCTAAAATAAACATCGGTAGCTACGCTAACCAAGAATGTTCATATGCACTAAATAATGATGTCTGTACCGCAGATGCTGGTCGAGTCTTTAAGATTGGTACTTCACAAAGAAGTTTTCGCAACTCTTCGTCTTTGGAGAACTTCACGGTTGGAACACTTTCGTTGTCCAGGCGAACAATCAAAGCCATATCACTATTGTCAGATATATCGTTTCCAAGAAACCTAAAAAATAGAGACCAAATTAATATTCCTTGCTAGATGGCGTGCATAGGTTCCATTATATCACTACAAAATAATGGCCAACCTCCCTCCCCTTGCCATTTATCAAAGTCCCGATGAAGTCTTGGTTTTAACCCTTTTCAGCCGACACTTCACTCAACTTCGTTAACCTAGTGGTCATTTTAAGTGCCAGTGCCCCTGACGAGAATAAAAAAAAAGTTTATATTGTTGTACATATATTTCATGGGGTAAATAAAGTTTGGTTGTTTTTTTTTTAATTATAAGTTAAAAAATAAATAAGCAAATAAAGTCATTTATCCCACGAGTCCCATATGCATTATTTAAAGTTTAAATAAATACCTAACTAACCTGAAATTAATAAATAAACAAAGGATCGGAAATGTTAGTCACAGGTGGAAGCTATTAACCCTGTTAATTCTCAGAAGTGATTTTAATGTAAATTATTTGTATTTTATTTTACAAGATTCACCGACAGGCAGGGAAACCGCAACAGCTTGCGCCAATTACTGCGGGCCCAGTAAACCCACCCATTCCACCCCAGGGGAGGAAATCCATCACACAGTAATCACGTGCGTGGGAAATTAACGTCTCCTACCCCTAACTTTGCAGGAGACAGAACCTCCATTTATTCGTCCCTATCCCTATCCCATCAATATATATTTTTACTGTAACATCAGATATGTAATTTTATCGGATGATTTTTTAATAAAGACGAATTTATTTATTTATTTATTTTATCCGAGAAGACTAGAATATCTAACCATTTCTTGATGTTATAGAAAGGTAGCATATTTTCCAGCAAACAGGTAATGAGAATCATGACTCAGACTTATCAGTTAGAAGTTGTAATCTTGATCTAACACCGAATTCTCTCAACTAATTTAGAAGGAAATCTGCAGCAGCTAGAGGGGAGAATTAAAAATCGCATCAGGTGAGTTTAGGGTTAAGAGGTAATTTGGCTGGTAAAGCATCTCGGCTTGACCAAACCTTACCATACCAAAACTTTCCAAAGTTAGTGATTAACTTACCTTAGAACTACCTTTTCGTTCCTTTGAGATTCCCGCACAAAATCAAGAGCTAAAGGAGAAACCACAATTTCATCTCCAACACAAGCAGGCTCCTTTGACTTTCCTTCACCTTTGTAAGGCACATCATAGCTTAACAATTTCTTTTCCAGCTCAGCCTTTTTGAAATTTGGATAACAATACAGCAAAAGGCTGTAAGTATCAGGAACTGTCGTCTTACATAGACAAGTGAGAAAATGTACACATTGTGGCATGGGTCTGAAGAAAAGACGACGAAAAAAATCCTCCAAAAGAGTTGCGCGTTCATTGAACACACAGACTGGACAGAATCTGCGAAAAAAAAAAAAGTAAAAACACGAATAGACGGCAACATCTCACTAAAAAATGATCCCTGGGGTTTTAAGGTGTGGAAGGCCGTTTCGTGAACAGACACGTCGATATCGCGAGGACCTCCTCGCAGGCTAAAAAGACAGAGGTAAGAGTTTTCTGTGGCGGCGGCAGACTGCTGATAACTGTATTAACCCTTTACACCATAACATCAGTATGCATATTCTCCATACTATTCTCTAAACATTTCCTGAGGCGCTGACAAGGAGAATTGGTTTAACAATCAAGAGTTATTTAGTTGGTGATCATTTCCTCTATTCTTGTGACCTTAATATTTGATTTAGGGGTGATATTGTAAGGAAATTTTAGATACTAGTCACTCTTATGGATTAAAGGGTTAAAAGCCCTGGTTAATAGTCGATTTTCAAGAAGACTAGCTAAACTAATCATTTCCCTATGACATCAAAAGACAGCACAAGCGCCTCAGTTTTTCTCAAGACGCTTCATGTTAGTCCGCTGCTCGACTAGAACCCTCCATCTCGGGCGCAGCAGTGCGGCTCACTACCAACTAACCCTGTTAGTAGAGAAATTTAGCACCGCGTTCACGCGAAATGTGAACGGCAAGAGTGACCACGTGACCTTGTTTTTCCCGCCCTTTTTTCACGTTTGCCGGTTGCACTTTGCCGTTTCTAAGTGAAAGTAATCTGTTTCGCGCTTGCCCTGTACGTAAGATTTTTTTCACTTTTTCTCCTACAGAGAAGAAGTTAATTGCCGGAAAAATGGCGCCAAAACTTTTCTTTGTTCGTCATACAAGGGCGTCTTCAATTCCACCATGGCGTGAACTCACGCAAAGCTAAAGCAGCAAGGTTCACGCTACTTTACGAGAACCGCGAAAGAGCAAGCTGACGTTTGCCGCTTCACGTAAATGAGGTAATAAATCTCTTTAGTAACACAAGATAGTAGCGGCAGAGCGAAAACGAGAGAGGCTTGGAGAACGCGTTCATTACGTGACCCGACCCAAATCTCCTCCGCTTTTTTCACTCCTCCGCTACTTCCGCGCTCTTTGTTTGACAAACTGAACGCGTGGAACAGGCTATTTCCTCTCTGACTGACCAAAAGTTTAACATAACTCACCGACAGAAATGCTTCACCTTGAATTCTACATTTCCATCTTTAACAATAACTGGCCCTTCTAGTTGATTTGTGATATCTGTCCAGCTAGCGTTCCATGGTTTTCTCTCTGAGTCAAGGTGTGATATCCTTACGACATCAGTTGAAAGCTCTGAAAAGTCATGCTTACTTTCACGAAGGGCGAGTGGAACCTTGATAGTCACAGGCTCCGTGTGTACAATGTTCTGAGAGCTTGAAATGTGAATGGCAGGACCACACAATATCCTCATATCTTCAACCTCATTGCCTGGAAATTCTTGTACCTTGGTGAAAAATCAGGATAGATGTCGACTTTGAGTGAACTACATGTACAGAGACAATGTTCTTTATTAGCTTAGGATAGATGGTAAATTTTCGGAGCGTCTTTGAGTGAAGAAAGATTATTCTTTTGATAGTTAACTAAATGTATAACGTTTTCATAAATGTTATCACGTTCGTATCAATCGCGATTAAACGGGTTGGAACGTTTCAATCAGCCATGTTCTTCAAAGTTTATCGACCGACACTTTCATTTTAAGTTCGAGTTATCAGGGTAAATTTGAGTCGAGGCAAAGTAAAATTAGTTTGTGTTAACGGGGATTTCTAGCCGTTAACCGAGTTTGAACCTGCTGATAGTAAATGACTGGAAAAATAAGATGAAATCCGGGGAAAATCGGATTGTGTTAGAGTTAGCGAGGGCTTCGAGTTAATCGAATAAGTTAGAGGGGATCTCCTGTACCTTAATTGTCAAAGCAAAGTCCTGATCGGCAGGTACAGAACTTAGAGGAACCTCAACACGTATGTCTGGAAAGTCTGGTACTACACATGTGAATTGAGGAGCCACCGAAGTATGTCTTGAGAATGTGAAGGACTTTAGGCGCCAGATGGCAGCAAACGAGGAACATCGTGACAGGGTACATGTAGCTTCAACAAGCTGAGGCCAGTCAGAAACGTCTGCTTTTTCTACATACAGGTGTTAAATTTCAGTGACTTAGTTAGAGCTGTTTTCTGACGACTTATGAGTCTGATTCGTGAAAAGTTTTGCCGTTGTGCCATGGGCTGTAAGTCTAAGAAAGCGGGACGAAGCATACCGGCAACCTGCTCTTAACCAGACAATCTCGATCAGACATACGACATTATATCAACGAACAACTCTACACTTAAATCTGACGATTAATTATGCTTGGGTACACGAAACGCTGCACACGGTTACCGACATCAAACCGTTCAGTTGTTTCCAGGACTACCCTCACCCAGATATTAGACTTCACAGTCGATTATTACAGAGCGTAGAAGGTAATCTGGGTTAATTTGTTTTTGCTTCACTTTGCACTGTGACTGGTCCAGAAAACTCGTACCACTCTCTGAACCAATCAGATGCAAAAGTAAAACCAATCACAACGTGGTCGCTAGCGTTTTCCCGCGCTTTAGGCCGTTGCGTTGGTTTTGGTTCTGCAACCCTCAATCGAAAAGCGCTCAGTATTTAACGGCTATTCACCGAAGTGGAGGTGGTTAGTGGTGGATATTTACCGAGCCGCGAAGCGGCGAGGTAAATATCTACCGCTAACCGCCGACACTGAGGTGAATAGTTGTTTTAGTATATGTTAAAACAGTGAGATAACATACACCACCAAAAATTGATTTTAATTCATACATTCCATTTAACTTTGATTTTCAAGCGAACAAGTGAGGTTACGCAGGATTAATTTGCATTTGTAAACAGTACCTTTCTCAATGGTTTTTATCGATAAACTCTGGGTTAAAAACTTAAACCACTACCTTTAACACGGCCAAACCAAATTTCTTCGCTTTCTTTGTGTTTTCTGGGACGCTTCGTCGTTAATTTGAGTGATTTCTTCGCTTCTCACGGATGCAAACCGGGACGCCATTTTTTCCCGAGTTGCTCGGAGGTAAATAGCAAAGGATATTCGGAGTTTGACTAGCCAATCAGAGCGCGCCTTCGACGCTATCCACTGTTTTAGTATATACTAATTTGTGATATCCGAAATAATCAAGGTGGAGGTAAGTGTTATCACCCGAAGCCGAAGGCTGAGGCTGATAACACTAACCGAGTTGCGCTGTTTCCCAGAATTAACTGAGGGCGTTTAGCCAATGAGAAGACAGATGGTGACTACAATGTATAATAATAAATGACTTGTAACCTGTACCTGAAGCATGCCAAGTCTCCAAATCTTTCCATTCGTTGTTATATGGATCCACCAATTGCTTGATAACCACTTCATATCCCTTCAAATCACTTGCACTGTGCAACAAAGACACAGTTATGTTTCCTTCATCATCTCCATTGAACTCTAGGTCTGGTGGACCATCATGTGACAGCTCAATCACATTGCTTACCAAAAGCTCATCACTACCCATAGGTGGACAACGGAGTTTAGGAGACCATACTGA